GGCGTTACGATCACACCAATCTATATCATGGTCTCTCTATCCCTCATCTCTATTATAAGATTAGTTTCCACCCGACCTTGGGTAGTTAGCACGATAACCTCCTTCTTGGTTGGCTAGGTGTAACAACTCAAAAATCTAGCGATACCTACCTAAAAGCTTGACTAAATTCTAGTAGGCGAAACTAGAGCTTTATGTGTGAATTTATAGTTGGAAACTTTTTTAAATGATGAATAATGGATTTTCAAGTTAGTTTGATGATTTTAGAGGTCAAACATTAAGAAACGACTTTAACCACTACACCATTTTAGGCTTAAGGTCACACTAAATCTGGACAACACTTGTAAAGTGTTGCCTAAAATATTTTTGGGTACGCTTTTAAAGCGTAGCCTTAATTTTTAATTTTTGGCCACGATGACATTAGCAACACTTTTAAAGCATGCTCTTCAGTGGTATAGGCTACACTTATAAGCGTTGCCATATCATGATATAATTGGTAATACTTATTTACACATATGACTACATTTTTAAAGTGTGCTATATTTATAATTCTAAAAACAACACTTTGCAAGTGTAGCATTATAATTTTTTCTAAAAATTATCACTAAAAAAATTGTATTCCCTCCAATATATTTTACACTCCCTCCAATTTGTAATTGGCCAAAAAAAGAATTCATAAAAAAAATAAAAAAGCTCACTGTACATTATAACATAGGAGCTACTCAATCAATTCAACACAAAACCCTATTTCCCTCTCCTTCACATTTCCACCCATAAATTATCGAGTTCTTCTTTCTAGTGATCTTGTTGTTACTGTACGTTTCTCTCTTCTTTGATTCAGTCACTCAATTCTACAAATCTACCCATAAGCTCACTGTAAGTTACTGTACGTTTCTCTCTTCTTTGTTGTTACTGTACGTTTCTACAGATCTTGTTGTTACAGTTGCTAAAGAAATAGGGATGGTAATTTTCGTACTTCTTCTACGCCTTTGTTTGGGAAACTGGAGAAACAGTTCAAAGAATTCCAACATCGTTTGGAGGAGTTGGAGAGTCTACGAAAGCGGATATGGGTTGTGGTGATGTAGATAGATTCATTCACTCGACTCATATATGGCAGCCTTCTTCTCGTTCAGTTGTCTTTCTCTATTGCTGGTATTACAAAATCTTAATTTATATGATTACCTTTTCCTTTTATGCGTTTTTAGAATGTTAGATGCATTTTAGATCTAAATAATTTTCACATTTTCCAGAAATTCAATTTCATTATATTACATATAGTTTAAGCTTGTTGTCAATTTAAGTTGACCAGGTGTTCTGGAAAATTACATTTTGTGTCATTTGAGAAGTTTACTGGTTAATGTGGCTGTATATTTGATTTGGTACGAAATTTAAGAAAGAAAGTATTCCTTTAGTTTCAGTTTGTAGTGTTTAGTTTGATTGGATGCAGAGTTTAAGATTGTTAGGTGGAGGTGGAGTCAGAGTTTGAAGCTTATGAGTTCTGAATTCTAATCTTCTTTAAGTTATTGAGTTTTAAATTAATAATTCATACATATTCATGGATTTTTAAGACAATAATAGAGTGTTTCGACCAAAGTTATTAGGTTCGGCTGAATCTGTAACCAATACTCTAGCTTGGCCGTTGCTCGTGATCTCTCGGGGGTAGTGGTGGGGTAAGATCCAAGTCAACTCCTCTATGATCAGTAATCTGTATTTGTATAAGAAGTTTAAAATGTTACATAGTTTTGAATCTTGATGTTGACTGTTTTGAAATATGATCTGTAGGTTGCAACTCTAGCTCCTAATGTACCGGCAATGCAAGAGCTACATTTTGCAGTATCGATGGCTGGAGCCGTTCTTTGTACATTAAATATGCGCCATGATTCAGCTATGTTATCGATACTTCTGATGCGTTCAGAAGCAAAGGTCATATTTGTGGATAAAAAATTGCTCGAAATTGCTCAAGGAACATTAGCTCTCCTTGCTGACAAGAAACAGAATCTTCCTCTTCTTGTTGTGATCTGTCAAACTAATAAATCCCCTACAGTTGAAAACTTAAACCCTCGCGATCACGATTATGAAAGTCTCCGCGGAAGTGGGGATAGCAGTTTTACTATAAGATGGCCGAGAACAGAATTTGATCCTATTAGTATTAACTGTACTTCAGGTACAACGTCGCGACCCAAAGGAGTTGTTTACAGTCACAGGTGCGTATCTCAATACCATCGCCATTTTTTTGCTTCACAAGATGAGTTTGTTCCCTGTTTATCTTTGGACCGTTCCAATGTTTCACTGCAACGGTTGGTGCATGATTTGGGGGCTTGCAGCGTTGGGTGGGACGAATGTTCGTCTTAGAAATGTCTCTCCAAAAGACATATTCGAAAACATTTCATTGCACAACTCCTACATTTTCCAGAAATTCAATTTCATTACATATAATTGTAACTTGCAAAAATGTGGTTGGTAAAGTTTGCTTCTTTTTCAAATTGTGTATAATTGGATTTTAGAAAGATAAAAAAACTATTCCTATATCAAGTTAGGTTTTTTAATTCCTTAAGTTTTAACTAAAAAGGGCACAAATCAAATGTACAGTAGACATCTCTCTAATCTCTATTTGTCAGTGGATCTGATTGGTAATCTTTCTCCTTCTACTGTGTTTGTATATATGAAATTATATAATACAAAGTTTTTTCCTGTTTTGTGGTTAGGGTTGATATTTGAGGTGATGTCTCTGTTTTCAAAAGTGATGAGTAGATTTGCTTGTTCTACCGGTTCTTGCTGTGTTCCAAATTCTTATCCACCATCATTCTATGCTTAATTCACACCGATGTTACAAGCTTTAATTTCCTAGGTGAGTTGTCCAATTTTTATTTTTATTTTAGTTTTTACGTATTTAGATTTGTGTTTGTTCAGCAAAATAGGATTGTAATTTCCCTTTTGCTTCTATGTTCGGCTAATAGAGTTGTCTCTCTTTCTCCTCATTGCACAACTCCTACATTCTCCAAAACACATATCCGGAAAAAAATTGTTACATATAGTTTAGGCTTGTTGTCAATTTAAGTTGACCAGGTGTTCTGGAAAATTACACTTTTGTAAATTGAGTTTTGAAATGTTTGTGCTTCATTTTGTTTGCTTTTAGATCATCTATGAATATGTATGAGTAAGTTGTTTTTTAGTTTGAGGTAGCATGGACATGGAGGACCAAGCCAATTTTGAAATTTTTATTTGAAAGCTTATAAATATCTTTAAAATTGTCTATTTTCACACCGATTGAGTGATGTTGCTGGTGGGGTTAACACGCGAGGAACTTCACATTTAAAAGATTGTAAATATCACACTGGAAAGTTGTTCTGTCCAAATTACAACTCCTACAATCTCCACTGAGATAACAATGCCATCAGGATATTGGCAGCCCACTGCCAACACAGGAAACAGCTGCTCTGCATCAAAAATTAACAGGTTGTACAACATGTTAAGAGATAGCGAAACTGTTTTGTACAGGTAACTATTTATTTCTGCATCTGAATTTTTACTTGGAATTAAATGTTGCAAACATTTTGTGCAATTTTTACCCGATATACATCCAGTTGACTCCGCTTACAGTGCGTCCCGTATTTCCTGCTTCTACCAAGGGAAATCCTCATTCCATCTACGTGAAAGGCGAGTTACTAAAAGTTGTCAAACTTTTGATCTAATCTATGAGATTCAAGCATATCCTAATTCTATGTTAGGTTCAATATTAGATGGTTCTAACGACAAACAGAGTAAAACTATGTTCTTAGAAAATATTTCAATATGAATTATTTATTACTAACGTCTTAGTATCATGCTCATATATAGTTTGCAACAATGTTAGTTTATGATTTTAGAATGTCCTCAATTCAGGTGAATACTTGAATAATAAGATCAATCAAATTATTTTAACAATTGCTTTTCCAACTTCAATATTATATCTATTAGTGAACAAAGAAAAAATTGTTTTTTAAAGGTAACAATATTATATGGCCTTTAAGACAAAAAGGGAAAACAACAGCATAACGAGTTGGCATTTTGTCTCAATCTTAAAGCCTTGTTCTTCTTTCCTTGTTCCATAATCTGCAGGATCCTGCAGCTTCTCTCTGCACCTTTGGAACAACAAACTCAACAAGTGGAGGGATACCACCTTCAATCCTATAGTCAAAAAATACAGATCTGTAAAAGGGCAAAGTCTTTCAAATTCTTCTGGCTCAACTCATGCTTCAGTTTTTGTAAAGGTATGTTATTTTTCACATTAACAATACACTTAAATTCTGAACTTTTAAATGTAAGAGGGTGCAAGAATGTTGTTGACCCTTAGTTTGATACTTCTTTAAGATAACATCAGTTCATTTGAGTTGAACGCATGATAAGTTCGTTTATATATGTTATATTAGGTACTGCCAACTTTCTTATTTTTAACACTGTTAAAATTCTTATGTTGGGGTAGTGTTTTTCTTCATTTCTTGTCATCTTTTTGAATTATTTTTTTTAGACTAAACCTGATTTTAGGAGCTTGTATGTTGTCTATATTAAGCAATATTCTACCTTGAATAGGTAATTTAGAGAAAGATATGCATTCTAATTTGCCTTATTCCTCCATAACAAGATTTTCTAGATAATCTGCAAATGAAATTTCCTCTTGTATATGTGTTGCACATGGATTTTGAAACCTCTATGAAATTTCTTGTATTTTTATACTATTGTACTAATGTGCAAAGGGTGTGGTCCACATATCTCCAACATTTTTTTTATTAAAAGAGTCAATTCTTATTTATGAAAGTAGTAAATTCTTGTACAACACAGTAGGATAAAGTTTCTCTAATTGCAGTTTCCTCTACCTCAGTGTTTGGTGTGTCTGGGAAAACCTCAGCTTGAGCAAATATTAGGTCTCCAGTATGTCTTCTAACACATATTTCATAGGAGCTCTTACTAGGATTTCTCCAACTAGCAATATTGCTTCTAACCTTGTTTCACATGTTGATGCATGTAGCGCACAAGCTGTAACAGGCCAAAATATTCTACATTCTTCAGGTTCAACTCATGATTCGGTTCTTCAAAAGGTATTTTGCGTGGTTCCTTTGATTCTATGCTGTCTTGGTGTCTTCAGTAGTGTGTCTTGGTTTTGTTGGAGTTGAGTTTCCTCTTTATCCATGCTTTGTTTGGTGCGACTGCTATCCTGATTTACAGGACCCCTCTTTGGAGTAGACTGTATTGATCTTGTGTGATTGCGACTGCTACCTGTTTTGGTGTCTGTAGTAGAGTGTATTGATCTTGTATGATTGTGACTCTGTTTTCCGAGAATTAGCTGTGTCATCTTCCTCTTTTTCCACCTTGATTTCAGCTTGATTGTTGGTACCCTGCCCCATAGGGAAAGTGAAAGCAAAAATGATATCTCATTTGAACTTAGATCGATTAAAGCTTCATCTGAAAGTTCCATGCTACACTGAAAGTAAAACAAAGTTGAATTGTTGCAGCTGAATTGTTGAGTTCTAAGATCGATTAAAGTAGAATTCTAAGAGCTCTAAGATAGGAGCTCTAAGTTGCTTTTGTAATTCTGTTGCAGCTGAATTCATTTTCTTGTTGAATTGTTGGGCATCTATATTGATCTTTGAAACACATCCACTTTCATGAAATCTAAATAATGTTCTAGCTGCTGGGAGGAATTTGGAACCTGCAATCATATGTAATATGCAATAATCTGTAATTTGTAATCTGCAATCTGGAGTTGTAATCTATAACCTGTAATAATTTGGAATCTGGAATTTGGAACGGTAATCTGTAATCTGCAGTAATATGAAATCTGGAACTGTAATCTGGAACCTGAAATATTGAACTATAATCTGCATTCTGCAATTTGGAATCTAAAACCTGCAATCTGGAACTCATTCTTTAATCCGTAATCTGCAATAATATGGAATCTGGAACTGTAATTTGGAACTCAAAATCTGCAGTCTGCAATTTGCAATGTGGAACTGTTGCAATCTAGAATCTGGAACTTCTTGCCTTGTCTATAACGTACTGTTGCAATCTGATTTGTTGTAAATTCTAAATGTGTAGGGAAATGGAGGTGATCAAATTTGAAGGGTCGCTACAAGTCAATTTGATCTCATTGAAGTGGCTGATGAAGAGTTTTTGAACTATTGTAAAAGTTTGAATACATTATGTTTGATTTTGCGAAATATATTCTTTGCTAGAATATATTGAACTATTGTAAGAGTACTTTTTGAACAATTGTGTACACATATTTAGAATATTGTTGTATAAGTATGTGCAAGTACACAAGACGTACTCTCTTTTGAAGTTTATTCAAATCTATACATTTGAAATACTTACGAGCCAATTTAATGCTTGAGATTATTTATTGCAAAATAATATTGGTGTTTTTTAATTAGAAATTGTGGCATATAAATATTTTATAGCCAAAATGATATGGCCACACTTAGAAGTGTAGCCATAGGACTGTAAATTGTGGTATGCACATGGGCAAGGACTACACTTCAAAGTGTTGTCATACATTAGATAGAAAAGGCAACACTTACAAATCGTGGGCAATAAGGAAGCTAAGGCCACGCTTAAAAGTGTAGTTGTATGAGATAGAAATGTTGCTATTTGAGGTACATAAAAGCGTTGCCATTTTGCCTTTTAGGCTACGCTTTTAAGCGTAGCTGATAAGGCAACACTTGAAAAGTGTTGCCTAAACTCTAAGGTAACGCTACTTTCGGGCACCCTTGGAAAAGTGTTGCTTAAAGTCCAAAAGTGTAGCCTTTTATCAAAGGCCACACTTTTTGCTAGTTTAGGCAACACTTTACTGGGGTGGCCGTAGGCCTAAAATGGTGTAGTGAACGTCCGAAAACTAGACATTTGAACTAGTGAGTCGTAAGGATCTTATCGTTTTGAGGGTGAGAACTTGTAGAAGTGACTCTCATACATAAATGGAAATGTTTAGGGTCCAAACGTCCGGGTACGACCCCCCAGGGACCACCCTAGGGGTCCTTGAGAAGGACCCAACATTGAACCCCAAAAACTGTCAAAGCACAAGCATTGATGAAACCCCAAACTACGACCCATAGACTGGTCTACGAAACCGTAAGTCAGGGTCGTGGGTTGGGACTTAGCTTGGGGGAGCTTAGCCCCCCAAAAAGGGAGCCCCCAGTACTAAATGACGATCTGCACAGGACGGCCCGTAACTCCACCTACGGTCCGTAGGTGGAGTTTCGTAGGTGCTGCCCAGTTTTGAGTTTTAAGTTAGGGGACTTAGTTTTAGTTAGTTATTTAATGAAGGGCTTAAGGGAGGTTGGTTAGTTAGTTAATTAACCTACTATAAGTAGTTAATAGACCCCCTAATCTAAGCCATCAAAACAGGCCCCAAAACAAGTCCCCTAAAAACAGTTTTTAGTTTTAAGTTAGGAGTGAGGGTGAACATTAAATGGTCATATCTCATAGCTCAAAATGAATTAGGTGGGCCATTAACTATCCAATGAAAGGTCTCTGAGTCCTCTTTCCAACGCCACAAAATTTTCCAATTCCGATATCGGAGTAAAAGGTTATGGCTGAAATAGTGAAGCACTGTCCTTCCAAAGTCCAATCGACGGACCCAAACTATGGACGGCAGATCAAATGACGGTCCGTAGGTTGGGATCCGTAGATGATGCCAGTTTTGTGACTTTTAGCTTTAAGTTGGGAGTTTGGGAATTAAGTTAGTTGATTAATTAAGGGCTTAGGGGGTCGGTTAAGTGGTTAAATAACCTCCTATAAATAGTTAATAAGACCCTAAACTAAGTCATTAACTCATTATAACCTAAGACCCAAATCAAACCCAATTCCATCCCTCTCAAACATTTCTCTCTCTACAAGTTCTTCCATTGAAGAACAAAGAAGGAGATCAACTAGGACTTGAAGATAGAGTATTTCTCATGGGGTTTTGATGGGAATCTACACCTAAGGTATGGGAGATCTTTATTCTTGGTTAGCTATCACCAAGAAGCCCCTTCAACTATGTTTTCAAATTACCCCAAATCTAGGGTTTTCACATCTAGTTATGGGTCTTCTACCAAACGAAATCAATTGTTTAATTTAGGTTTATTATGATTGATTTGGATGATTTATGATTGAATTAATGAAGTATTAATGGATTTTGAGTAAAATCTCCCTTGGACCCATGATTTCCCCTTCTTCCTAAATTATGAACTAAGATGTGACTTGATTGATCATGGAAGCTTAATAATCAATTGTGTTTAGGTTTATTATGCTATTGAATCACAATTCCTCTCTATGTAACCTGGTAATTCTAGCTATTTAGGGTTAGATCTTGATGGATGGCCTTAGACTAGATCATCTAGTATTGTATTGATCATAAGTAAAGCTTAATGACATGAATTGACTTGTTTATGATTATATATGAAGGTTTGTGGATGAATTCATGTAATGTCTATGGCTTTTGAACAATTTCCCACTAGACCCATGATTTCCCTTCTTTTACAAATCTAAACCCTAGTGTGTCTTGAATGATGAATGAAGGATGAGAATCTAGCATGTTTTTATATAATTGATTATTAAATTATGATGTTATCATATATGATGAATGAATGTCAAGAAAATAGGGTTGAATCTTGAAGAAAGCCTTGAAGGATATGAATGAAGGTTTTCAATTTGATGAGTAGTCTTTTATAGAATTGTTGATCCACTTATGGTGGAGGTGCTTACTTGATTTATGAATTGTGGTGTTGAGTTATGATCCCTCTCCCCTACAACCCTAATTATGATCAAGTATGCTATGATATGAACATGTATGTTATGCTATGATATGAACATGAGTATTATGTTATGATTATGGTAGTGTTGGTAGGTCGAATGAGAGGTAATTCTCATAAACACTATATGACTATGATATGAAGGAACATTCTCACATGTTCTTGATACTAAGGTCGAGAGGCTCTTCTCACCTAATGAATCCTTGAGCTAATATAATGTAGTTTAGGATGAATGCCTAAGTGCAGTCTCCTATGAATAATAAACTTAAGTAAAGACTGAGAGTTAATTTAAGGGAATTAGGCTTAGCACCGAGTGAACATGAATATGGGATGGAGGCTTTTACGTTTAGCAAGTTTGGCTTCCCATATGGGTTCCTTCTACATTTAGCAAGTTTGGGTTCCCGATATATACATGTTGTCTCATGAGATGGAAACCTTTTACGTTTAGCAAGTCCGGGTTTGTAGTAGCAATCTCCTTGTTTCGTAACTATGTGCCCACATAGGTCATTAGCTAGTGGATCCATCTTGATGCTATTATTGTTTGTTTCACCTTAGGCAAGTGAGACACCTCTTTTCGGTGTGGGGGTATAAAACTGAATTCCATGTGGCTCACATGGTCTATGTCGGTTATTGCTAATCTCCCTATGTTTAATGAATATGACTTATGAATATAAATATGATCTATAACTAGGGCTTTTTGAGGGTTACTACTTAGTTTAGGTAAGGGTATGGGACTTTACCTAGACATTGCACAAGTGGGTTCTTTGAGGAGTTCTTCTGTGAGTCCCTTATGTATGGCAACTTATGAAGTATGAAGTAAAGATGACTTCACTTACTATGTATTATGAATATGCATATGAATTACGCTTATGCCTTCTTGATGGGTTTGCTTAGTATATGTGGGGGTATGTGACTTCATATGTACATTGCACAAGTGAATTTGTGAAGGGTTATGAGGGTGGTTTACTTATGATATGAAGTATATGAAATATGACTAAGATGTATGATATGAATATGTTGCATGAACTATGAGTAATGACTCCTATAGGAGATCTACTTAGTATTAGGGGTATTATGGGATGTCATTCATACATGGCACAAGTAGACTTCTAAAGTATCCATGGTGTAGTTAGATTTTATTATGAGGATTATTAGTAATGCATGCTTCCATTGAATTAGCACTATGATTGACTTTCCTTGATATGAGCTAGTGTTTATGAATATCTCTTTACTATGTGTATGAATTATGGATAAGACTAATGTATGTTAAGTATAAGCATGGTGATCCAAAGGTACTACTTAGTGTAGATAGGGTTATGGGGGTTTAGCTACACATGGCACAAGTGCAACCTAGGGTTACTTATGTTGTCATTCTATTATGATGTAATGATCTTAATGATTGAATATGCATGAGTACTATGTCTTGTAATGAGTAATATTGTATTAAGATTATGTTTAGAGAAAATGATTATGGTGATGTTATTATCCTTTGTGCTTTGATGAACTATATGCGAGTTGCTTGTGACTTGTGATTCTCCAACTCTTTCAAGATGATGTTCAAAATGTGCATAAAGCATGGTTTCAACTAACTATCCCTTTTAAGCATATTTTAATGGTTTTTATGCATGGCTTCCATACTTAGTACTTTTTGTGCTAACCCCTTCTACTACATTTTCTACAAAGTGTAGGATTTGGAGATGTGGTGTCCTATATTTGGAAGATACGTTTCTAAGGAGCTTGGGAATGAAGACTTGGGGAGTCCTCATAGTTTCGAGGACAAAACCCACCTTGTCCACTTATGTCTTTACTTTATGTTTTTAGATTTATGTAAGGTCCGTGTTTCTATGCTTAATTAAGAAAGGGCCGTGTCCTTAAGATTTTATAAAAAAAGTTTGTTATTCTAAATGTTATAAATGGTTTGAGACATAGTGTCATAGACTCTCTCTTATTTTATATAGTCTTTGATTGTAAAGAAAAGTTTTAAATTTTCTGCTATTTTTCTATGCTTTAATGTTCATGATATGCTAAGGGCTCGTATAAGACCTCTTCGAGGTTGAATACGCCGTGTTACGACTAGGGGGTGCTCTCGGGTCGTGACACTAGGAAGTTCACTTCCTCATTGTACAACACTTCAAATTTGGCCTCCTCGGGGTTTACACCACCAACACTGACAACATTAATACTCCTTGTACCAGCACCCATGACATTCTTGGTCAAGATGTCCAGTTGGGTCATCATATTTACCATGTTTTGGTTTCTCTCTTCATCCTTTTCGATCTGCTCCTTTGTCAGTTTATAAGTGAGATGAGAGACTTGACCCTCACGAGTGTACCATGCCCAGTTAATTTTGGTCATGCCATCAAGGAGTTGGGCTGCTTTGCAAAAGGTTGTTGCAATAAACCTCCCGGAGAAAGTCGATCAGCCACTCTCTTGTTCACCGAATCGAGGCTTCTGTAGAAGTATTGCAGTAGTACATTA